GTAAGAAAAGTTAGTGAATTGTGTTTGAGTGTTAAAAATGACCGTAACTCTTGTTTTTTATTGAATGCAAACTGGGGACAGTGTGGAGTAAGGGTCGGGCCCCAGCCTTGCTCACCTTGGAACTTGAACCCCTCTATTTGCACCCACAGGCAGAGGTCCTCCGTGTCACAGTCACACTTCCAGGGGTTTCCGCTCAGGCCCATGGAGCGCAGGGCGGGCAGGGCGATCAGGCTGCTGATGTTCAGGGCCGTCAGGTTGTTCCGGCTCACGTCCAGCACCTGCAGGGCAATGTTCTCCGAGAAGGCGTCCGGGTGGATCTCGCCCAGGCCGGGGTTATCCGTCAGCCGGAGCATCACCAGGGAGGCCAGGGGCCCGAAAGTTCGGTCCTCGATCTGCAGCAGGCCGTTGAAAGACAGGTCCAGGTAGGCCAGCTTCCTCAAGTTCCCGAAAGTGGACTCGGAGATCTCGGCCAGGGAGTTGTTGCTACAATCCAGATAGACCAGGTCTGACAGATAGTTGAGCTGCAGCGCCGGCAGGTCCCCGATGCGGTTGTTGGAGATGATGAGCTGCCGGGTGGCCAGGGGCAGGTCATTGGGGAACAAGGTGAGATCCTGCCCGGCGCACTGGACCACCAGCTGGTCGTCGCACACGCATCGGTCCGGGCAGCCGGCCGTGAGAGCCGGAGAGGGGGCCACCCCCATCACGAAGATGAAGAGAAAGATGAGCCGGAGGGACTGAGCGCCGGGCTCGAGCAGGAAACGCATGACGAAGCCGCCCAGAGCGTCATGAACTCGGGCTGAGCTGGACCAGCACTCCCCGCCTCTCCCCGGGCATCCTGCATGGGTCTGAGGAGCAGGGGGAGAGGAGAGAAGCTCGCTCTGGGTCTCCGGCTGTCTAAAATCCGGGCTGCTGTTTATATCCAGCCTCCCTTTTGTCTTAAGGAAAGACCGTCGGTCAGTCAATCACAGGCACGCCGGTGCGCCGCGCAGGTCGCCGAAACGCATCATTTCAGAAGGTGACCGAGAGGCGCGCGTCGCCCCGTGGATGAGACTCGTGCCCCCTTACCAGACTTGGTCCCACCTGAAGACCACAAAAGAACTGAGCGGCGTTGACCGACCCCCCGGGTGTCTCATCCTTGTGAACTCGTCCCCGTTCCAACGGAGAGCACCTCTGCTTGTTTAGTTCCCAAACAAATGCCGCGACTTGTCCACAAATCCCTGAACCCAAATGAAGTCGGCTTCCACCCCGAATTCTCCTAAAAAAAAGGCGAGCGCGCTTCTCGTTGCTCGTCCTAGACTGCGTTGGTCAGCGTTGGTCAGTGGCCGGGAGACGGGCGGATGGAGCGCGTCCTCGAACGCGGCTCAGACGGTCTCTGTGTGCCCGCGCCGTGCTGGTGCGCTCTCCCTGTGCGCGCCCTCCCTCCCTCCCTCCTCTGGTTCTGCGCGCACGCCGCAGCTCGGCGCACACGCGGGCTTGTTGTGTTCCGCGCAGGTTTGGCCTTAGGGTGTTTTGCGCTGGTGACGTCACCAGGTGGTGTCTTCTCGAGAAAAAAAACCCAGACGTCCAGAGAAGTGAGCCCACAGTCAAACTCAGGCGGACGGTCAGGGCGCGCGTGTGAGTGCACGCGTGCGCGTATAGAAAAACAGTCAGTCACATTGTTTGCGGGGAGCAGCAGCCTCTTAGCGATGCGCAGAATTAACAGGCCTTATCTCGCGTGCTCCACTGATTACACCCCCATCGACTTCCTGGCAACAAAACGCACCCAGGCCAGATTGTATTATGTCTGTTCAGTCATTAACTGTTGTTATTGTCTAAGTCTAATTGAAGGAGGCAGCAAAGTCACAAACTCTGGATGCATACTTTAGAATTGGTAAAGTCGGAAGGAGTCAGGAGAAGGGAGGGGTGCCTTCTTGTTTCATTGGGTGTTGCAAAAGCCATTAAAAACAGAAGTGGAGAAGTTGGAAGAAGTGGTCAAGAAGGTAAACGAGGCACTTTGAGAGCCACCATGATTTTATTTTCTTTAATTTCATTGAGAAAAAAGCTATGTCCTGGCCTCCTTGTGGGGGTGAGATCAATACGGTGATGTAGAGAGGACCCAACGTGCTTCTTCTACCCTTCTCCGGCAGCCTCATTAAAAGCTGATGCACCCAACAGAATAATCAGATAAGTGCTCTACCGGCCAGCAAAATCCCCACTGAGCAAGGTCAAGGTGGCGAACCCCATAAAGACCACGCAGACACCTGGCTTGACGATCCTGGGAGACATCAAGCGGGGGGGGTTGGCTTACCAGCTGAAATTGCATCAGCTCACCTTAAACTAGAACTTGCGTTACCGTGCGTGCCCTTTCCGTCGCGGGTCAAACACTGACTCGGGGTGGATGGAGTGCAGGAGGCCCATGAGTGAGTGCAACACGTTGATTTTCAGGGAGCTTGCAGCGCCTGTGACTGGAGATGGAAAGGCCTACCATCAGGGAATTGATAAGAAAATGAGAACGCACTCTCTCAGAGTTCCTAGGGGAGTAAATTACATTTTAGGGTTGAGCCGAGGATGATGAGATCCACAACACAACCCTCTGGAGGTTATGTTTGTGCTATATATGTCTAGCTTTTCCATCTGTGTAGCATTAGTTTTAGAAGACTAAGAAAAGAGAGAGGTCCACAAGAGCTGCACAAAAAGTTCTGCAAAGTCACACCCATATCAAATACCCCACGTGTTTAAAGATGAATTAATGATGGTAGGATTGTTCGATGGTCAGGTAAGACGTTTGAAAGATCCGTTTACGGATCTGAGCGTCACCTGTTGGGCTTTCATCTATCCTTTGCAGCGCGCTCTGAAATGTTGTTCAGTTCTGCTTTCTTTTAAAGCTGCGACGGCAAAAGCAGCCGTTCAAAGCTCCCACTCCTCACTGAATAACAGCCTCAAAGCAAACAAGGTTTCTCATAGATAACAATGCTACACTTCTGACACAGACACCCTTTTACTTCAGAGCTGTGGTGGTCAGACACGGTCAGCCGTCTCTTGTCTTATATCTCATTACTCGATGCCTGGAGGAAAACAAACCTATTTGATCAGAGCCCGGCTGCTCCCCTCTGTCATGGATTCTGCCACCTAAATGGCTTTGCGGGATCGTGTTTGGAGATAACTGCCCTGGTAAAGGCTGGCCATCGGAGTCTTTAATGTAACTTTCCTCCCTGACAGCTCCAAATGGTGTCAGCTTCCAGAGGGGCTTGTGTGTGTGTGTGTGTGTGTGTGCCATGTGTGCTAGCTCCCAGAATTGTCACGTGTCAGGGGACCAGGACGGTTGAGGTCTGGTCTCGGTTGATGGTGCCGGCTGCGCTGCGCTCGTCTTTGTGGCCGTTGTGTTGCTTGCCGGCTCTGTGTGGGTGTGCGCGTGTTTGTGTGTGTTTGTGGAGTGTGCGGGAACAGGTAGAGCAGTGACACGTCTTTACTTTTTAATAAGGGTGAGTTCAGTGTCATCTGTGAACTGGTGCCTGATCCCCCAGCCCCAGATGACGGTTTGAAGTGTCACCTTTGCTTCCTTTAGGCCAGCTCACAAAGGCATCTATCTATTTACGCCCTTTTGCAGGGGACTAAGTAATGGCAAGTGAAACTCTCCCATCAGCAGTTTATGCCCAGCATCGACTGAGCTCTGTCTGAATACTTCTCTTCAGTGTAAAGCCATAACTCTCGCCTGCCCCCTTTTTCTCCTGGTGGCTCAGGGAGGTCGTAACTCTGCTTCCATTGTGGTCCGTCTTTCAGGCTGCGAGTCTGACGTCCTTCTTTTTTTCACCACATAACCAGCTCCATCATTCTAATGTAATTGAACCCGGAGTACAGCCATCTATCAGTCACTCGTGATTGCCCTCAGTGCTACGTGCTGGATTTGTGGGGTGTGCGATCTGAGGAGAGCCAAGCTTAAACGCGAAAAGAGCAAATTTGTGGATATTACAATTCATTTACAGGCCGCGAACGATCAAAATTTCACCTTACTTTCGGGTTGTGCCTGAACCATTCACCTGACTTATTGTCTTCCTATGTAAACAGTATAAAGCTTGACATATTTTGAGCTTTCTTTCAGCCATTTGTAGTCCAACTAAATAAGTTTTTTTTAAAAACATGCATCAACGGAGCAAAAGACCATTCATGCCGTCTCAACCCAGCAAGAAGGACAACATGGAATATCAGACACAAAGGCCAAACACTTTGCACTTGCCCTGAGCGGATCACTGGGCCGTCTTGCTCTTGACAGATATCACTGAGGATGAGCATCACACACTTCCTATGACTCATGAACAACCTCATCACCCTATCCCCAGGCGTCCCTGCTCAAATCCAGCCCGAGTCTGCATAATTCTGACAAGAGGACGGGATTCTTTTTTTGACGGGGACTGTGTGTACTGGTCATTTGTTTGGAACAGCGGCCTGCCCTTGATTGTGACAGGTGAGAACGATTTGGACCAACAAAAAAGTTATCAGTGAAATGATATTGCAGGAAGAAGTGCAACTAAAGTTTGTGATCCGACACTCAACCATCTAATCCAAGGCTGACCTCTGCAGGACTGGAGGGGGACTGTGTGGCTGGGCTCAGGTGAGGAAGGCAGAAAACTTATGCTTGACAACGGGAAAAGACAGAAACTCTGGTCCAGGTCCTGGCCAAAGGTGGGCGGTATGAGTGTACATCTATTGAACTCATTTAACTTCCAATCTGTTTGTCACTTCTGATTTGATCCTTTTTTGGCAGCCTTGGCTTGTGTTTGTGTGAGAGTTTGACCATGGTGTGATGCGTGTCCGAGCATCTTGTTAGGGATTAAAGTGTCCCCGTCACTCAGACTCCATCAGGCTCAGTTTCTGTCACTCATACACCCGAACGCTCAAACCCCCAGTGTTATCTTCCAGCCCCTGTCCATCTCAGGACTCACGCAGGAGCAATGAAAGCCTGCTAGACATCAAATCTGAGTGAGCTGTTCTGCTCTAGATCCCCCAGGTAACGTTTCACATGGCTGCAACAGAACCATCAGGCTAGTGCCGGCCTCTCTCTACCATTACCTGTCAAATGATGCCTCGTCAGAGATAACTGTTCTGTTTAATTATCTATTTTTGCCGCTTTTCTAGCCTTTTACCTTAATTAGTTGAATTTCTTTCATTTCATTTATGAGTAAATGTGTGTTTCACGTGCGTCTGCTCAGGAATGATGACAGTTTTGATTGAATTTCTTCCACTTCATCCTGATTCAACACAATTACGCAAGCACTCACCCACCTACATTCTGCGCCCCATGCATCTATCATTAATTTACATCCAAATGACAAATTAATATGACTCAGTACTCAGCGCCAGTGGCATCAGCATTGTAATGATGAAGCGTAAACAAAGTCAGACGGTAAGAAAACAAATGCTAGAAGTTTGGCTTTGACAGTATAAAAAGACTCTGACTGATGACCGGCCCTTTTCGGGGCAGCATGCGGATCACATGCTCACAGATAAACAAACACGCTCTGCTCTCACCTGTGCAACTGTTGTGCTATGAGAGCCAGGGTCTAACTGCGTGATTGCATAACTTGTAAAGACCTGCTCAATAATGGATGATCGGAGCAGACACAAAGCAGCCTGACGGAAAACCTTACCTCAACACGCCGCTCTGTCTAGACTGGACACACCAGAGGCCTGCAGGCCGGCTGGAGGAGAGCTTGTGTGTACCTTTTCATACCATGGGGACCAAAATCTGTAGACACAATGTGGGGATTCAGCTCCTATTTGAGGTCTGCATCACATTAATGATTGAAATGGTTTCAGATCAAGAGAATGCTGCAGTGTAAAGTAAAAGAAGTGTGTGTGTCTGTGGGAGAATGAGAGCAACTGAGCAAGTGCCTACTTTAAACGACCTTCTTAAACTTAGCCATTTGAGTCTTGTTAAGGGAACTGGTGATTGTATTCGAGCAAAAGTTTCACTTTATCCAAAATGCCACGTAACCAAACCATTAACTTGCATGTTTTGAGTTATATGGAAAATACACAGACGACCAAGTGCAATTGGCCCGGATCCGGCCCAGAACCAGGAAGTTTTACACCGGATCCGCGCAACGGGTCTGGACTGGTGTCCCTGGTAGGCAGTTAACTGTACCAGAGGAGGTATGTGAATTCCTGATCGGACCCCAATTTGGGCCAAATGTGCGTCTCATCTGCTGGATATGTATACTACTTACCCATTTTACTAGGGCCGTTAAAATTTTTATTAAAAACAAAAACATAAAAACAAAAGTTGCGAAGAACCTATCAAGAATAGTCACTATTCTGCAAAATAACAAATAAGTCATACAAAATTGTAATAATGTAGGTAATTGATTTACCAAATAAGATATGATCAAATCCCAGAAACACCTCACTTGTCAACAGACTCCGTTTATTCTCATTCTTACTTTGTCACTGTTTGACAGACTGGGCCGGGATGCCAAGTCCCTCCTCTTTCAGGAAGAAACCTCCGCAAAACTTCCTGCTGTCGGACTTCCAATTCGTTTCGGCTTCTCCGTCGGGTGGCGACTGAGGAACTTCGGACAGAATGGCAGCTCTCCTCTGCAGACTGGGAGCACCGGGGGGCGCGGGGTGGCGACTCGGGGCCGGTCGGAGCTCCCTCTCCGGCCGGGGGTCCGGCCGGGGGTCCGGCCAGGGCCGGAGCCAGCGCGCGCTGACGGGGCACGCGCAGGCGGCCGGCCCCCCGGAGGTGGACACACAGCGGCTAGAGGGGTCAGACGACGGTAGGGACGCATTAACAGCAACTCTGATTTTTTCTCTCTCTCTCTCCTGTACCGTTAAAGACTTAAAGTCATGTGAAAACACCAGCTGGCCTTTTTTCTCCCACTTGTTCATGAAGACCAGGCCAAGGCAAAATTGTTTCTGGATACTGGAAGTTATTGTTGTTTTCATTTCTATGGGGAAATCAAGAAGCATGGGAATGTAGAAATGAGCCTCTTCTGGGGGATTTCTTGAAGCAAAGTGATTGTGAATTTAAAGTTGGTCATTACTGTCCCCACAAACATGGCGACTAACAACATTTCCACATCTTAATGTCGTAACCCTATTAGGATGTGGGTTTGGGCGTGACTCCTCCTTAACTTTCTCTCTGACAGGCATCGTGGAGGTGCTGATGTGCAGACACAGAGCTAGAAATGCCCTGGGCCACGTGTTTGTGTCACAGGTGAGCGGAGCTGTCAGGCTGTCGCACACTTACACGACAACAGCGGAAACACACACACCTACTCAGGCACGAGTCCATTGTGTGTGTGTGTGTTTGTGTGCAGATGAGGGAGGTGGTGTCCAGTCTGTCCGGTGACTCTGCAGTGAGAGTGGTGGTCTTCAGGAGTGCGGTGCCGGGGGTCTTCTGTGCCGGTGGGGGCTCCTGTGTGCGTTTGTGCGTGTGTGCGTTGTGGGACCCGCTTCCGCCCGCCAACCCTAACGCGCCTGTCGTCCGGCGTCCACAGGCGCCGACCTGAAAGAGAGAGCCCTGATGAGCAACGCCGAGTCCGACCTGTTCGTTCACGGCCTCCGCTCCCTCATGACCCAAATAGGTAGGGAGGCGGGGGGCCGGCGGGTGGGTTTCCAGGTGCTGAGGCTGTGGGGGGGCTGACCGTGTGCTCATTTTTCGGCAGCCGCTCTGCCCATGCCCACCATCGCCGCCCTGGACGGCGCCGCCCTGGGAGGAGGACTGGAGCTGGCCCTGGCCTGCGACCTGCGCACCGCTGGTGAGTGGCATCCCTCCTCGGTAGCATCTCCGGCCCTCCTTCAGGTAAAGTCGATCCGGTTGGAAAAGGCGATGCCGTGTTCTCTCGGCAGCTGTCTCCACTCCCGTCATATCAGATCAGAGGCTGAGTCTCAACTCGTTGCATCACTGTTTGTTAGAGCGGAGACTTTTCCACCTGGGTGTCGGAACAACAAGGAGACACATGAAATATTCAAACTGCTTGGGTCATTAATGAGCCGCACAACATGGCTGTCATACTACTTTTGTCTTTTAAGAAACTTTTGAGGGGTAAAGAATCTGAGAGGTCCATCAGGTTGAAAAGCAGGACTAAATGACTGCTGCATCCACAGTTCCTGCTACTTTGAACAGAAGACGGTGATCTTAAAAAGACGCAGAGAATGGCAAGATTGATGCATTTGTCTTTGTTAAAGTTTGTAAAGGCTGTCAGGACTAGGCCTGAAAGCCTAAAGACCTTATAAAGAAAGGCTTAGGGAAATTGCTCAAAAGGTCGTTCAAATGGCAAAAAAACCTTAATGAAGACCGTAACACGCATTCACAAATAAAACCTTTCTTTTGTCCTCATCAGAAAAAAGTCATAGCTTGGTGCACACCCTCGTACATCTTGATGCAAACATCCATTATACTGTTAAGCACCACAGCGCAACACAGTTGAACTCCTCCTCAGAAAATGCTGGCAAAATGTCCCCAAACACGGGGACGGATTCAATTAAATATCTGCAAATAATACTGAAAGCCAACTTCACACCGTGTGTAACAAAAAATAAATGAATAAATAAAGAAATAGAGAAGGAAGAGGGTGGTTCTGTCAAGATGCATCATATTCTGATCTGTGAGGGATTTGCTTTATGAAATTAAATAATTGAAGCAGTCTTAAAATTCTTATCTCTGGGAGTTAGGAGCGCTGAGTGGGACTTTATTTAACGCCACGTTCAGTTAGATTTTTTTAAAACCAACCAGGTAACCATATATTAACCAAGCTAAGTTGGGCTGTGAGATGTGTGTGATTGATTTCTTGGTCACAGATGGGAGGAATTCTTAGGGGAATAATTGCTCTTATTAAACATGTTGAGCTTCCTCTGGATGAATAAAACGGGATGTCTTTAAATGGTTTTCTAAAAGAATACGAAGAAAAGAAGCAGAGACCCTAAAAGGATGTCCTTTTCCTCCTTTTAACGTGCTAACATTTTTTAGAGGCCCATTTTCTGTCTGCGGCTTTAATGGCCTTCGGATGGGCTTCCACGGTAATGACAGCCACCCCCCCACCCCCGGCTGTTTGTGGAGATATTTCAACGTGTGATTGGTTTTATTAGGCGTGGCGGCCTGGCTGCGCGCCGGCGAGCGGGGTGAGCAGGTGTTTGTGGCCACCGCTGTGACGGAGCAATCACTCAGAGTTTGCACCTTCATCTGCCCTCTGTGCGTTTGTGCGTTCCAGCGTATTCCGCGCAGATGGGTCTGATCGAGACCACGCGGGGGCTGCTCCCGGGGGCAGGTAAGACCAGCGCGGCGCCGGGGTGAGGCGGCTGCAGGGGCTGAATTTGAGGCGGTTGCTACCCACAGGGGGCAGTCAGCGGCTGCCGCGGATGGTGGGCATCACCCTGGCCAAGGAGCTCATCTTCACAGGGAGACGTGTGGGAGGGCAGGCGGCTCTGGAGATGGGCCTGGTGAACAGAGCGGTGGAACAGAACCAGACGGGAGACGCCGCCCACAGAGAGGCGCTCAGCCTGGCCAGAGAGATCCTGCCCCAGGTCAGCGCGCACACACTCACCCCCTCCTTCTGCCCCGCCGCCCGCGCAGGTGTGTGTGGGATTGTCCTTCAGGAGGGCTCGCGGCCTCTTCCCCTCTCTCCCGAGCAGCTCATCTGTTCTTCTTCTCTCTTGCTTCCTCTTTCTCTCCACCCTCCCTGCCTCTATCTCCAGGCCTCTGTCAGCCCAGATATCTCTCACTTCAGTTCAGACGCTAGCAGTCAGCAGGACCAGAGTGGCCGTCAAGTGGAGAAATGGAACACAAATAGCATTACACACAAACACACACACACACACACTGGTAGGAACACGCTTAAGCCGGGGTGGACTGACTGAGCGCCTGGTTGCAGCTCGCATTACCTGAAAGTGTGTTACAGAAAATGACGGTATACAGGAGCTGGTTGACCTTTGAAGTTTTCCATTTTCCTCCACTTTCTTCCACTTTTCCAACGTGGGCTTTTGCCAACAGCAGGTTTAATCAGGATCTATCCGGCATCCCGCTCTTCAACTACCTCAACACCTGCCGTATTACAGCGAACGCCACCTATCAACAAGATCTGATGTACTCAAATCAAACTCTCTGACTAGTTGGGGTCCTGAGGCCCCAAATCCAAAGACCTTCCTAAATTTGGAGGCACCTAAAGATCTTTTCCTTTGCAATGAAAACTGGGAGCTTCCTGGCGATTCCTGTTGTGTGTGGGACTATTATTGCTGTGTAGTCTAATGCTCCATCCCCCTTGTTGCTCAGGCTCCTATTGCTGTGCGGATGGCAAAAGAAGCAATGAACAGAGGCACTGAGGTACCACAGATCTCCAGTTATTATACTGTCAATATTTTTAACAATGAGTAAAAAGAGGGTTTTTTTTTCCTTCTCTTCCAGGTTGACATTGGGTCAGCGATGGCCATTGAGAGGATGTGTTATGCTCGGGTAAGTTTCTCAGAGCGGGCACGATTCCAAAACTCTCCGGTTAAATTCAGGGTCGGGATCTTTCCCTTTATCTGAAATCCCAAGGCGACCCCAAATGTGGATTACCCACGTCAGTCAATCTGACGCAGCTCTGCTGATCTCCCAGCGGCTGTGAACGCATCACCCGCCCACTGCTTTCCCTCTTTTCAGGTCATCCCCACGCGGGACCGACAGGAGGGCATGGCAGCCTTCATGGAGAAGAGACCTCCCCAGTACACAGGGGAGTAGACACAGCGCACCCACATGCCCGCATCACTGCCCTCACCTCTCAATGAATTCAGGCCAAATTAGCTTAGCAGCCACCAGCTATCGATTCTGTCCGGGTGCCCCCAGCGTAGGGACACCGGCTCGGGCCAGGCTGAGTGCACAGTGGGGGCTGTTTGCTTTGGCCAGGACGAGGTTGCCTGAGCTCATTTTTATTTGATACAAGACGTTATTTTGACCTCTTTGACTTTTGTTATGTTCTGTACTTCAATAGAATGGGGGGTCAATAAAAATGCAACATCCCCAATTTATGGCAATGTACATTCTTTTATTTCCAAACCTTACATGACTGAGCAGCAACGTGGCACAAACATACAATGTCTTGGCTTTTTATGTTTGAATTGAATTCATTTAAAAAAAACAAAAAAAAACTGGCCTTTATTCAGGGGGACATTCAGTCGCTCAAATGGCAACCCAATTAATCAGGAGCAGGGGGAAATACATAAGCTCTGTCCCGTACTCTCTTCTGCCTTGGTAGAAATGTCTCGGGCTCGTGTGTATTTATAGCTCACTCCACAACGGCCCTCAGAAAGTAATAAGGCCATAAGTCATGGAGCAGGTGAGGTGAGGCAAGTACATTTTGAGTAGCATTTTGTAGCCCAATTAATTATTTTCACATTCATCTAGCATTATTACGACCAGACCCGTCACCCTGATCTAAGCTGCCTCTGTTGTCTCGGGTTGGACAGCGTTTGGAAGAGACGAACGAGGTTGATATTGATTGCATAGAAAATGGTGACAGTGGCCTCGATAAAGAGTTCAGCATGAAAAATTGTGGGTGTTGGGGCGATCTGTACAGCAGAGGGACTCCTGATCAAATGACATGCCAGTATCATACAAACAGTCATTTTCCTCTGAAACACAATTCTGAAAAAAAAAAAGAAAGAAAGACAAACAATAGAATATTTCCCATGCAACCAATTCAACAGTTTTACAGCTATTTTCTTTCCCTGCTGTCTATTATGTACAAATTACATACACTCATGGGAAAACGCTGATTCTTGTACTGACGTACATACACATGCTCGCACCGAAGTGCTGTCTGGGTCTTTAAGACTGACACAGAGAAAGCAGAGCAAACATAATATTTACACACATTTCTCAAGGAGAAAAACGGATGTGGCTCGACTCGTTACGTCTACCGCGACTCTGCTGCTCCACATTATTGTCGCCATTAGTGTCCAGAAGAGTTCATTTGCACTGACGTGAATTCGGTTCCTCGGTGTTCGGAGCAGCTGTTTTTTTTTTCCACCGGATGCGACTAATTCAGACGAGACCGTTATCCTAACGTAAAGTCCCCCATCGCATCGTATCAAAGGCATTGGCTGATAAAAGACTAAATGAGGAGGGTGGGGTTCAGTGGCAGGAGCGCTGTTAGAAACAAACAAGCAGGCATTTCTAAAGTGAATAGAACAAGCGCCCAGACCAGCATGCTCGAGTTAACAGCAGTGTCATGCATACATTTAAAGATTAACCAACCAAATCGGACAACCAGAGCACTTGGCAACATTAGAAAGACTGCAGGGAAGTGGCCAACCCCCAAGTTTGTTGGGAGTCATGCTCCTAAACTGAGATTTAGAAGTACTATATGCTCTGGTGTGTTTTTGGTACCAAAAAAAAAAGCAAGCACAGGCGCGATGTCCAAACCGAGCGGAACTGGCCGGCAGCTTAATCATTATTTGAATTTTCAAGCATCGAATTTGCACACAAAGAAGTCTTTTGTTTGGAAACAGACACAAAGGAAATAAATAAGGGTTCTGTGTGCAAAGAGCTGCAATGTCTCCGTCCTTCACGGTCTACTTTTTTAGAAATCTGTCGGCGTTTGTGTCGCGCGCACACACACACACACACACGCACACACACACACACACTCACACTAACTCCGTTGTAAGATCTGGCCTATTTTTGTTCTTCTGAATCAGGCAGCACCACTCTGAAAAAGATTACAGTAAAGGATGAACACCCTGGAGTGACTGGGAGGCTGAGTTATAGATGGCGTCCTTCTGTGGGCCTTTACCTCTGTGGAGCTACTGGGGCGGCGGCCGGCGACCCGCGAGCGCCGGCTGGCCGGTGCGGGTTCTGTGGCGCTGCAGGCTCTCCAGGATGCTCTCAGCCAGCAGCTTGACGTCTCTGTGGGTCTGCGGGTGTGTGTGAACCTGCTCCAGCTGCTGGAGTCCGCCCTCCTCCAGCAACATGCTGCAGTACCGGGAAGCTGCAGACATAGACACGTGGTGACACGACAGTGAGGAGGGGGTGTGGTGTTTTTTAGTGATGAAATCTACTGGCTGCATGAAAACAAATCTGCATGCCCCTTTCTGTAAGAATCATCTCGGAAAATGTATTTCATCTGTTTCCACAACAGTCAGCCACACTGTGTCTCTCCCCACGTTAAAACTAACTGTCATCTTGAGCTGTCATTTCTCTGCCCACAGATGAGATGTCAGCCATGTTTTTTTTTTGCCTGACAGGTTACTGTCATTCTTTGAATGAGAGAATAACCTCCTGTTAATATGCTTACCTTTATCTTTAGCTTCAGACGTATTCTTTAAAAAAAAAAGAATCCAGTTAATATGTAATGAGTTTTCCCTCTCAGGGATCTTTTGGATGCTCCAAAGGTTAGAAAACGCCAGGCTTTGGTAACCGTTGTTTTTTTGTTTGCATGAGTGTGTCTGTGTGTGCGTCTCACCATTCTTGCTGCACACGTGTTGCATGGCCCAGGCCGCCCACAGCTGGACACCAGGGGTGTGAAAGCACTCCAAAAGAGGAAAGAAGGGGTTAAAAGACCTGAAGAGAGATAAAAAAGACAGGCTTAGAAAAGACTCTGAATATATATCTGCTTCAGATAGTTTGAAGGTTAATAGCTTATGTGTCTTACATTTTTCCTTTATTCTCACCCCAGGCTATAAATGATGAAATTCCCAGGTAAAAAGGTCACAAATCTAGAGACAGTGATCATCTTTTTGTTTTTTACAAAACTGTCTATAAATTCCCACAGTGAGAGGGAATGTCAGGTCAAAATGTACGCTCACATTAAAACTGATGTGGTAATGTAATTAGTTCAGCTTAACTGGACAGACACAGCAATCCTTTGCAAAAGTGCAGCTGGGGCATTTAGTCATTGAATAAATTAACTGACTGAAAGAAAACTGGCCACAGGCTATTTATCATTTTTTGTAACTATTAAAAGAAACAAAACATTCAATGTTTCTGGGATGTGACGATATTTAGAAATATTTCCATCATTGGTTTAGTGGTGTGGGGTGAGGGTGTCTCTCAGGGATAAGTCCTGAGGGCTTGTCTCACTGCTTTATGTTTAGAAAAAAGCCATCACAAAGGCAACCACAATCAGCTAAATAGTCCTTCAAAAAACTCTGTAACATGCTGAAAGCAAACATTTGAGTATACATTCCAGTGTTGTTCAACAGTCATGTGACACTTTCCGCATGACACAGATTTACTTTTTTTTTTAAAAACGGCATCTCACCTGTAGGCGACCATTTCACACTCTGGTGGAGGCCACTTCATAATGACGGCGTGCTGGAAAGACACAGGACGGAATTACACTCAGAACTCATTTTTCACACGAGTCAGTGAGGAAGTGGCCGACATCAAAGCGGTTGTGCTACCAGCTGCTCGAGCAGTGAGGACCGGAGGCTGGGGCTGAGCGTCCAGGCCTCCTCTCCGCGCGATGTTAGATGGGCAAGGATGCCTGCGGCAAAGTAGCTGACCTCCACCTCTGGGCTGTGCAGCAGCGTGCTGATGTGATCCAGGAAGCCCTGCACCATCAGCTCCCCGTGCAGCTCGCCCACCTCTGCTATGTTGTTCTGCGTGGTGACAGGTGAGGAGGCCTTTCAGGCGTCTTCATTTGTGTTGACAAGGGCAACATTTGGGGGAAACAAACGAGCAGTAAACTCACCAGAAGACCGAGAACCTTCTGCTGAATGGAAGATTCATTGGGGAAGGACTGCAGAGAGGGGGAGGCAGAAATGCAGACGCAAAACAACAATGAGTCAACATAACCTACAGGGATGTGCAGCAACTGTGAAAAACACACGATTATCTGTGATGAGCTACTTTCACATGAAATCCACTTCAGAAACTGAATGCAGTTCTGAATGCTAATTTCATGTTCCTGCTGACGGTTGTGAATACCTCCAGAACTTTGATAAACAGATCCAACCCCTGGTTCTCGATAAAATGGCGGCAGGTCGTGGGCGACTCATCGGTGAGGTTCCAGAGTGCGCTCAGTGTAAATTTGAGGGTTGCATCCACCACGCCCTGAGTGGCCTTCTGACGCACGATGTGGAGCAGTTGCTGTGGGCAACAGAGGATGCAGGTTTGAAAATAAATAAACTGGTCTTTTTGTAGATGAATAAGGACAAAAAGAGAGACACATACCTTCACTATGAACAGCTCTGCTCCGAGCTGGGCTGTTTGGTCAGTGGACAGCTGCAAAGGCACACATCAGTGAGTACGAACTACCCAGACGTTCCACTTAGAATGGATGGAAAACCGAAAAACTTCAATTTAACATAATACAAACTATACCTTGGCTGCCAGTATGGAGATGATAGCGACAGCCATTCGCTGCATGTTCTGGTCCTCGTGGTTGCAGAGCCACTGCATCACCAGTTTAGCAGCTTCGAACCTTGGAAACAAGGAAAACATGGTGAGACAATCCAACTGAATTTAACCTTTGACTGAAGATGCTTAATCAACTGATATTGATGCCAGACAACAGGACAGAATGTGCATCAGACTGCAGGGATTCTCACCTGTTGAATGGAACCTCCTGCAAAATGCGATCACTGCACAGTGACAGTAGGCAGTTCTTTTGCAGCTGTGGGAAGAAACAGCCATTCAGCCAGTGTTGTAGAGCTTCATGAAAAAGTCAGGAGGTCACACGGTAGGATGGAAATGGAGTTTAACTATCGTTTCTGCCCAATTGAACGACAGCAGCAAATGGGTTTGGAGTATTTTTAAATATACAAAATTTAAGTTTAAAAAAGGAAAGAAGAAGCTACTTTTATAATGTAAATATACCTAAAGCTTCATTTTTTTAAATGTTTCATTTCTTTCGTGAAAGCTTTTGCTCACTCCAAAAAACAGATTTAACTTGATCATGACTGCATCTCGTGTTTTATTTCCACTTTGTGCAATTTCATAGTAGGATTCTATATTTTCCTCGGCATTCATGTGAATTAAGTTTTAGAATTCATTTTATTAATTCATCTGCAACAAATTCACCCACTTGTGATTAAAAGGATGCTTTACTGGTAATTGCAAAAATGAGACACTTTGTTAGTATATAAGAAAGAAGAAATCTCACTACCAGCGTCAACATGTTAGAAAATGAAAAACAACCAGATGTGACGTTACCTGCTGGTGGTTCGGGAAAGTCCTCATAGCCTCCAGCAGAAGCTGAGTGACAGTACTCAACAGTCTGACTGGCATTCCTGCTGCCAGGTCCTGTTTCGTCAGGTTGAACACACAGGCGCTGGCTGCCAGCTGGACATTCAGAGTTGCTGGGTGGTTCTTCATTCCCAAAACTACCAACTAGTAAAAAAAAAAAAGAAAATATGATGTGATGTTGACACCATGAAACACCTGTTAGTGATCAGAGACTATGTATAATGTATTAACTTTATGTCATATTAAATGCTAAATATAACAAGGTTTTCTTGAAGGAAAGAGTTAAAGTAAGAGTTTACCTTTAGGATGTCAGGCCTTGGTTTCTCCATCACATGGGTCAGGCTGAACAGATGAAACAGGGCTTCCCTCACAAAACCCTCCCTCTCACTGTATCGCCGTAACGCCTCGCAGATCTGAGTCTCGTTAGCTTCGCCTGTTACCTGTTCAAACAGAGGACAGTTTAGGCCTACTTGAATTCCTGAGCGGTTTGGAGCGGAGCGTGTATAATAGTACCTTCAGATTTCCTTCTCCTGAGAGGAAGTCAGAAAAACCAGCATCTGTGGCAAGAAGTCCCACAAAAGTCATCCCTGGTCTCTCCTCAACAAATGCCCTAACAGCTGCATCCGTCACCTACGGCATGAAGAAACCTGGGAAGTGACTTCCCATTGGAACAGCTGCTTTACATCTTAGCAGCGAGTTGAAGTGTTACCTGCTTCCTCCCTGAGACGTCCAGGGAAACCAGAGCGGGCAGGATCCCTGGCTGTCCGAGCAGCTGACGAGCCACGTCAGACGTGAACTGCTTATCGTCACTAATGTCCAGGTGCTTCATGGACATGGACAGAGCTTTAGCCAGAGCGTTTTCAAAAGCAGCGACAATGACAAAGAAAACTAAACCTTTCCGCTCACCTGCAGTACGTCCAGTTGTCCGATGACTCCCAGCAGCTGGGCAGTGCTCATCTCCAGCCTCTTCAGCTGGTGTAGTGTTAGTGAGCGCAGCCGCTCCTTCAGGCCCAGCACAGGGCTCAGGTTCGTGACCGAAGTGTTGGACAGGTCAAGGCTCTCCAGCCGGGGCAGGGAGCACACGTCAACAAGCCCAGAATCGTAAAAGTCCACATTGGCTAACGAAAGGGAGCGCAGGCCTTGAAGGGCGCTGAACTGATACCAAATGGGCTCCTCCAGAGAGGACATGGTGAGACCGGTCAGGACGAGCCGCTGAAGGGATTCCTGGAGGGTGTTCCAAGGAAAAGGTTTCAATTACATCAACACACAGAGAGACGGTGAGGGAAGGTCAGCCACACAACGTGAGCCGCTCTTATCATACCTGGCAGTATTTATTGGTTGCCAGACCCTGCAGAATGTCAGGAATGGTTAGGTCTGCATTGACCCTTGCAGCGTCCAGCTCCAGCAGCCTGTGGGGGCATAAAGCTTTCTGGAAAGCCTCTGCAGAGATCCGCGCTGTACGGATGCAGGCTCGCCTCAACCGCAAGTACTCGCAGTTCCTGAACACGCCCACTGTGCTGTCGTTTAACAGACCTGTGGGGGAATAAACTTGTATCAAAGTTCATCTTTAGGCAGGACACGCCACTGAAGAGGACTGAGCATTGCACAACGATTTTTATATGAAACCCTTTTGAGTACTAATCCTGTCCTCGTCATTGTCTTTAAATAGTCAAACTGTGTAAAAGTGACAGTTTGAAGTTGTGGGGTTTTTAATTGATTATTGAGAGAATGTAGATTAAAGCAGCCAAATGCATATTGGAGGATGTTCTTTTGCTTAAGGAAAACACAAAAAAAAACAGAAGAGTATAGGATGGATAATGATTGTCTCAAGAATGTAAATATGCTGGTATAAATATTAGAAAGAAACATAGAAAATCCATTAGCTTGGTCAGGAGGAGACAGAATTTAACATTTAAAAAGAAATCCACTATCATCTTATTTTAAGAATAAAAACCTAGAGCATAACTTTGTGTGAAATAATCTGTAATTCTGAGTCATTTCAATGTATTCTCATGTTGAGACACACTACGAATATCTGTAATTACTAATAACCAATACCAATCGTTACTAATATGTTCATTTTAAATGGTGTCTGGTAGTATGGAGATTGAATGTGAGCCCTTTATTGTTTATGGATCACCATCCATGACTGATGGATTACCTTCAGTGGCCATCTTGGCCAGCAGCTGGTCTGCGAGTTCCTGTGGGAACAGCACAGCCTCCCTGAAGCACAGAGAGCCATCGGGGCGCTTGACGCAGAAACTCTCCAGGTTCTGGCTCACATAGGTGAGGCACAGGTCCGTCAGAGCCGCCGGAGAAGCGTCGTCCTGAAAACGAAAAGAGGATGAACGTGTCTGTGCAGGCGCGATTTTCTTGATGCGTTATTTTAGTATGGACGGAATTATTTCGTGACGTCCGTTGACGTTAGACCAAAAACAACGAAACTTACCGTGTTTAGGAAACTACAGGCCAAAGCCATGGTTTAGGGAAAAAAGCAACAACTCGTTTTTAGCTTATGCAACCAAGACCGGTGTCTGTGTCGGGAAGAACGGTGGAGACTTTTGTTAGCTTGGTTGTCGGGACCCTTTGCTCTAAAACGGTTAGATTTGTTTCTCCGGCCGGGCTGATGGTGAGCTAGTCTGTGTAACAGTAACCAGGAGCAGAGCACGACGACGCGCGAGCTCTGACCAGTGACAGCGGACTCTACCAGCCAGCTAGCTCACTTGTTGTCGCCTCCGCACTGAAAAATCACTCTCGGTACGCGAATGTCCAAAGCTGGCGGCCGTGGCGGAATTCATGACGACCAATTTCTGCGGCGACTAAGACCGTGGACGAGAAAGCCGCTTGCGCACCTTGGATATACGGCGAGCAGTTAGGACTATTTTTGACTAAACCGAATTGGAGAGACAGTAAACAAAGGTCACAGCACCGGAAGTACATTATGAGGGGGCTGGACTACGGAAGCCTGCGAAGGAGAGTTATGAAACCAGGAAGAAGTCACTGAAAGGCAAGTTTGCTCACGCTGCACTGCCTTTCAAGTGGATACAACTCTAGGAGTGATTATAATACATATTTAGATAAACTTTACGTGGGTCGGCAACCAAATTGAGCCTCGGGTCAAGAAGCAGCTTTCGTAACTCACGAGTTTTTCCTTTTTTTCAACAAGGTCAAACGGCACTGGATGTGAGCTGAGCGTTTAGCACATGCCATCGTTGTTCAGACATACAGAAGTTGAAATATGGCTGGACTTATAAACTTCGAGGATGAGAATGAAGTTAAGCAGTTTTTGGACAATTTGGGAGTGGAGTACAGTTTCCAATGCTACAAAGAGAAGGACCCTGAAGGTAAAATCCCTGCGCTGTTCAGTTATCCGTGGTGCTGAAACACTGACCCCTGTTTTGGTGTAGTTATGTTCAACTATCTGGCATTTGTTCTTCCAATTAGGTTGTCAAAGGCTCGCGGACTATTTGGAAGGGGTGAAGAAAAACTTTGACTCTGCAGCACAAGTGCTCAAACACAACTGTGAGACTAACGGACACGGAGAAAGCTGCTATAAACTGGGAGCTTACCATGTCACTGGGAGAGGTAGCAAACTTGACACTACTGGGACTGGAATTACATACTATTTTTTGTCATTTCTGTTTCCTTTTCTATCAACTGCATACCACTGGACGCTAATGCTTTCCACTGTTCAACTGATAGTCATAGATCAAGAAAGATCAATGTCTGCCCTGACCATAGAGCTATCCGTAGTGTAATTGCATTTTGTGTGATTATATTATGTGGGAAATAGCTTTTGAATTAAAAAAGTTTGAGTATTAAAATGGACGAAAGTTATTTCAAGATAAAACAGAATAAATGTCTGGATTTATCACTATGACACCAAAAGATTTAATATGATCAACTACTCATCAGTACATTATGTAGCAACTGTCTCCCACTTGGTAAAATGTGTGTTTTTCAACATTTTTCACCAGGGGGAGTCACAGAGTGTCTGAAGACGGCTTATTCCTGCTTTCTACGCTCCTGCAATGGTGGTGGAAAAAAATCCGTTGATGCCTGCCACAACGTTGGTCTGTTGGCTCACGATGGGCGAGCTATGGAAGGAGGCCCCGACCACGTTTTAGCTCGGCAGTACTATGAGAAGGCCTGCGATGGCGACTTTGCCCCCTCCTGCTTTAACCTCAGTGCCATGTTCATCGAGGGTAGTTCTAAGGGGCCGGCACCAAATATGAATCTAGCTCTGAAGTATGCCAACAAAGCTTGTGAGCTGGGACACGTGTGGGGCTGCGCTAATGCAAGTCGCATGTACAAACTTGGGGACGGGACTGAGAAGGATGAGAAGAAAGCAGAGGAGCTGAAGAATCGAGCGAGGCAGCTGCACGGTGAACAAAAGGAGCGGCAGATTAAATTTGGAGAGTGATTGTGACTCGCTTGATGAAAAAAAATCCTTGTTCATCACTGCACATGTCGTGTTCAGTCACACTGTTTTCTTGAGGAAACAACCCTGTAACAACTTTAGTGGTTTCTTGGAATGTTTTAGATTTGTAATGAACCGATGGACCTGGCTTTCAGGTGGTGACACTGTGAGAGCTTGGCTGATTTATATTTTAGACAAACAATGTAAATGCCAGCACAATAAATCAATGTCCATCAGTCAGTGTTTAGTATTTGTTACGCTTCTGATATTTGCAGAATAGATTGAACAAAAGCACACAGGAGCACAAAAGTGATTCAAAGCAGGAAAATGCAACAACAACCCCCCCAAAAATGTAGTAGTCACCAACCAAAAAGAAAAAAAAAACACTAATAGACATAAGTAGATTTTATTAATCACACGACATTAATAAGGCACCATATATAATATTTATTTTTAAAAGATTCATAGGGTGTATATACAAAAATGAAAGGAAATAATAAATATCCCAATTATGAAAAAAATTAAAAGTAAAAAAAGATTCATGGAAATTAACAGATGCACTACAGGAAACTACTTGTGGTTATTCTTACGAAACATATTAATAACTGACCAACCGAAACTTCAACTTTTCAGAAAGCATGCCAACAAAACCTGAAAGGAGATGCGGACATGACAAAAATTAGACCACAAGAGGGAGTCCGAATCAAACACATGAACTTTGAGCTTTTTCTCCCCCCCCCCCCCCTAAAGTCATATAGGGGCGCTTTATCCATTACAGCAGAGCACAAAGTGCAGTCCAAATGCCCGGAGGACTCCGTGCGGCGGACACGGTCGTAAAGCAGACGGTGGCAAAAGAAGCGCGGCCATAAAGGCTCGAGGACGCCGGCGTGCTGCGGATAATGTGCGGACTGGCCCCGTTTGCACCTTGGAAGCTCCGCCCGTTAGCCGTGCGCCTCCGCAGCCCTCATTCAAAACACAACACAGCTGTTGCGAGACACACCGCGCTGTCCTGCCGCTACAGCTGAAAACGGTTAGCTCCCCGCTGCCCCTCTGATGTACCCGCTGGAATACCAGAAGCACAACGAGGAAAAGGGCACATTTCGGTGAGTTACGGGACGCGGCGAGGTGAGACGTTGTTATCGGAGACGAATAATTCATTAATCCCTCCTCAGCCGTCGAGTTCGCTAGCTAACGCGACAGTAAGCCACACTGATGGTATGGGTGTGTTTGTTTTTATGTACAGGATGCTCCCTTATCAAAGTAAGTCACCATTTATCAAAAGGTGGGGACGCGGAGATATAATATCGTCGACAATTTTAATGTAGAGACTGGGATTTTCCTCTGCAGTCTTTCTGTATCTGGTTGCCCTGGTGCTTTTTTTTTTAGCCAAAATGTGATATTTTTCGCAACCCATGCGAGGATACGGTTGTCTGACCACACACTGCGAGGGAGCAGCGATGAGTTTGATGTCATGCCAGCCGTAAATCATGCGCTCCCTCTCCGGGCTAGTGAGTCAAGCTAGTTAGCGAGGTTCGTTACATGCTAATACGGGAGCCTTTATAAATGAGCGGGGAATGCCAGTGAGCTGGCTCGTTCTTTATTTCACCGTGTTTGCTTGTGACGACACGCGTTAAGCCTCGGTTCCGGAGGAGAGGGACTTTTTTTCTTTCGACCCGTTCGCTCCCTTAGCCCAGCCCCGCTCGCCTCTCTTAGCAGCAGTAACCCTCTGCAGACTCCCGAATTCGGATAGCTCATTGGCGGGGAACCCCCTGCACAGTTGCCCTCCGGGGAGTGCTTTGGGTGTGGCGTGGATTCACCCACGAACAAAACCAGTGTGCTGCCTCGGTTGCTTTTATTCTCTCATCGCTAGCGTGTCTTAATCAGGCGAGTGAGACAAAAAAATAAGGGAGGACGTGAAAACGGCCGCTCGACTTTGTTACCTAAAATCGTTCAAAGGAGGGAAACTTTCGAGCTTGAGCTTGAGTTCTTCTTTTGGCCCCTGGAAGGTGATTTCTGGGTAATCGCATCCCTTCAACAACAGCTCAGGAGCAGCCAGCTGCCCTGCGTGTGTGCCTGCGTCATGTGATAGGTGAGCAACGCTTTACTGACAGTGTGCAGTAATCTCCCTTTTCTTTTGGAACTGTGTACCTTTTGTGATCTTAAAAAACAGGAAAAGGTAGTGACCTTTTTCACGCTGTTTCTCTATAGAAAGTGGTAGGTCGACCTTTTGTGTGGCAGACAACTGTCGGGCCATGTTGCTGCAAAGACAGAGTTTGCTCTGGAGGAAAAGTTTCTGCCAAACTTGCTTATTTTCGACTTAAAGTTAGCTGGATCTTGACCGAAGTCATACATTAGTTACTTGTAAGCCCAGGAATAAGTGCAAAACTAAAAATGTTTATGGTAACTAAACTTTCTTGGCTGGGCTGAAGGAGGAATCCTCTGGTTTTTCACTATTAAAGGGCCTGTTTTTTCCATAAACACTATCTCCATCTGTACATACCTCACATTCAACACACTCTTTGTCAGCGCCCGCTGCGACTTTGCTGTAGCTCACTGGTCTCATCCCCGCTTCCCAAAGACTCCCAGGAATGTTCCATATTGATATTTTGTAGGGCTATGTTGAGCCACCGTCCTCAACACTTAACATATGACCCTGGTGTCACTGGTTCAGGCTCATGAGCCGCATGCCTTTACGGTGCTGTGGCTGAAAGGCTGTTTGAATTCAGCAGATGAGGGTTTGAGTTTAGCTGTAGTAAACAGTGACAGTTCTGAGAGCGTGACTCGGATGAGCACACGGTCCACGCCACAGTTAAAGTTTCGTGCATGAAAGCAGATTCTCAACAAACGCTGGAGAATGCTCAATCCCCCGAGATATCAAAGCAAGAATCTCTGTGGAATTCTTTATAGCTTTCGCTTCATCCAACTGAGTCTAAACCCTGAAAAGGATGTGGATTTTTCTTCTCTTTTTTTCATCTCTCATAGCTCTCCAGTGAAGGTTTGGCCTAAGTGACAGCGGTCGGTGTCCATCGAAAACATCCCAAGATGTCCAAGTACATGGGCTTGGGTTTTAATCCAATGAAAGATAATTGAGTCAGTATTTATATTGCGCCCAGCTTTGCTCTGGTCTTAAGCAACACATCGGCAAAGTGATTTACAAATGCTGTTTTTAATTATCACTGTGTATTTTTGAGCTAATCCTGCTCTTTGTCCACTTCCCTCTGTAAACAAAAACGTCACGCTGCATATCTGTTGCTTGCCAACAGAAACAGCCCAAGTGCCTGGAGGCTTTGCTGAAGCTCAATTACTTAGCCTGCTCTATTCTACATTTAATTACATCGGCAACCATACTCCGTGCTGTCGTTCACATCACCGGAAGAACGCAAGGAAACCATTCAAACAGCATGTCATATTGTAGTCAAATGAAGGCATTAGATCATTAAATCATGTGCCTTTGCGGGGAATAACCAAACGCAGATCTTCTTCCAACTTGAGTGGATCGGTCACTTTTTAAGAAACCTTCCTTTGACATCTAAACATGCCCACTCCGCTTTCTGGGCCAGGCTAATCTTAGAGATGCCTCTTGTACGTTTGCCCATCTGCTTAGGTCTATGGTGTAACTGCTCTGTCCAAAGCCTGCAAATGTGATTAGTTAGAGATTACATCTCCGTGTGTGTGTGTGTGTGTTTGAGAGGTGAAACTCCCTTCTCAGATTCAGAGCTATGCATTTACACGAATATGGGATAAAAAACAAAAGGTCCTCTGCGTCATCCAGGGCAAGCCCTGGTCTTTCTCAGATAAGGTTTCTCTCTGCTACATTACATCATGTCCACTGCTCAGTTTGTGTAAAATCTCCAAAGACGCCTGATGGCTTTGGCCTAAACGGCAAAAGGCGAGCGAAGGGGGCCGCCGCCGCGTGGGCTCTCATCTGGACGCTGCACATATTCTAGAAGTGTTTTGGTCTTTGTGAAGATTTTTTCTTTTCTTTTTTCTCTGTGACCTCCATCCAGAGCCGTTGCTCCGTTGCCAGGGCAACTTCATGCGTGTGTCTGGCACATCCATTCAGCACAGATGGAACTGCGAAGTCACATGTCGTCACACGATTCCTCTGATGCCTCTCTATCTTTGGCTCCTTCGCCACCGGTGCAAAAGGCAAAAGCTAATTGTTTGTGCCCGTTCCCTGCTTTAGCTTTTTGCACAGACTCCACAAGGCCCTCCGGCGTCTGTTAGCATTAGCTGCGGCACAGCAGTCTCATCACTTGTCGGCTTGTTTTGGAGCACCAGTGATAATGGCTGTGCACGACTGTGTTTTTTGATACAGCCCCTGCGAGGTATTTCCACTGTTTACCGGTAGTTGGTTGAAGTGAGTGTTAGAGACGTGTGCTTGGCCATCACCTGATTAGCCAACCGTGCGCACGACTGTGTGCAAATGTGTGAGAGGAAGATAAGGGATGAGGATAGTGCATGATTTCACTTCAGAAATCTCAGGGGCAGGCCGCTTGTGTCAGTGTGCGGATTGAGCAACGCCACTCTGCTGCAGTAACAAAGAGCAAGATTTGAGGAAGCAGCAGAGTTGTCTCCCCTCATTGTTACGTGTTTGCCATGTGGTTCCTGCTGTGTCGTAATCACAGTCCTCGCTTGGGGAAAGTGGAGGCCACCGGGGGCAGTCGGACACAGACAGCGTTGGAGCGGAAACGGCAAGCAGAGGGTCAGTCTGGACTGATGGCTGGAAATGTGTAACACACACACACACAAATGTACAATGCAGCTGGCCAAGAAGCAGCAGCGGGAGGCCAGGAGCTTTGAGAGAATTTCATTTTGATTTCAACCACTTCATGGGAGTGGCTCAAACATGAAAGATCACATATCCAGTGGGCGCCTGGATACAGTTTTCTTCTTATTTCTTAGCTTTTCGTTTGATCTGTTTGTGATATTTTGGCTCAGACTGATCTACTTCTTGGTTATTATGCCTTATGTACAATCTAACTTCCAAAATTCACCAACTT